AAAATGAAAACACTCGCTTTTGAAGTTGGCTTGTGGACATTATGCCCGCTTTCAGAAATAGATCCTATCAATCAGCATTTTACGCCGTATTAGTATTCAGTTTACTCGTCTGTACCCAGGCAGAAAAGAGTGAGCAAGGAAATCTAGCTTATCAAATAGCTCAAGCGCCCGCTTAATCGTAGATTTTTTGGGTCAAATAGCTAGCTGCGCCGATCCAGTGCCCACTTGCTAGCTGTAAGCAGCCGATCCAGTGGGCGCTTAATTGAGCGATTACTGTCGAATTCAGACACACCAGCTAGCTTTGATGGGTTAAAATTGGGCCAGGTAGCTGCAAGCGCTATTTCACGATCTTTTTCTGCTTGGATAGAGGCTTCGTACCTCATTCGCAACTCTCGAGTAGTATGATTGCTGTCTAGTTCTTATATCGATCGTGTAAACGGCTAAAAAACGCTATTCAACCATTCCTTGAAAGCATTTCTATTATTTCCTCGTTTACACACGTTTAAACACTTTCAAACGAAAAAAAACCTCATGGGCAGTAAAACGATACGTTAATGCAGATGAATAAATAAGAACTAATTAGTTCTGCCCCTTCAATTTTCTACCAGAACAAAACATATACAGCAGGAGCATTTCTTCAAGATCAAACGAAAGACTAACGACATATTTATAAGAAAGGAATATGTTTGTGCACATATCTCTCTGTTTCTTTTTTGTAATCACGGAAAGAACTTATTACGGGATTAATCAGTTTTCTTTGTTAAATGATAAAACATTCGTAGTGATAGGCCAAAATACTACAAAACGAAAGAAAACGAACGAATTGCGTAATTTTCTATTCTTCTCGGTACGGCTATCCGATTATGTCTTCCTTTTGTTCGTGGCTGAACTGGAATATTTCGTACAGGAAACGAAAGAAAATGTAGACTAACTACATAATAGTCATCAAAGACTTTTTTTCGTGCATTCGTTTCTGACATAGCTCTTTCGGCCCACTACTGACAATTCGCTTATTCTATATTTTCAAAATATGAATCATGAGTAAGAGAATCAAAATGGCGGACTGAATCTGACAGGCATATCATTAAAATTTTTTTGTCACATATTCTTTGGTTTCGAAGAAGAATACGCTAGCTTTTTTCTGAACAAAAGGTAAAAAATAGATAATTGTATAATGTTATAAAATACCTAGCATCTCACAGCAGGGAGTGGTCCTGCCAAAAAAATATTTTTCGTTCTTCCAAAAAAAATGTTTTTGAAGAGCGAAAGAGACAAAACAAACTTTTCTGAAAGCAGGGGGGTGATAACCACTCCCCCAACCCCCCAGCAGGTACGTCTCTGTGTAAAAACCATCATCGGTGTAAATGTGAATAAACTAACAATGTAATGCTGTAAGTTAACGCTCCTCAGAGTATGCATGAATCAGAGGAATTTGAGTGTCAATACAGCACTTTCAAATCATTACAATATTTATCATAATAGTCAAACAAAATTTAATGTATGAACGAGGCCTGTTGAAAGACATTAAAACATGTAAGACATTTTTCAAGCACCTATGGTCCCACAATGGTTTTCAAGTGATGTGACCTATAAGTTAGATCTACGAGTACTGTTGTGTTATAACATGACAGTACAGCGATTTAGATTGAGATCTCTTATTCGCAAGTTATAGTCCAGATAAGGAAAGATAGACATAAAATGAATTCTACGTATTCGCATAGAAGTTGATTTCCTTGATGTATATTAGAATAACTATAACAAAACGGTGAATGAATGCGATTATAACGCATTGAGACACTAAGTTATACTGAAGTGGAAAAACATGAGACGCATTACATCTGTGTTTTTACAGTGAATGTTTTGGCATTATGTTAAAACTCTATAATCGTTTCTATTTTTATGCGTTCAGTGTACCGCTAAACTGGAAAAAACTTCAGGAAAAAGCGAGTTTTACTAAAAAATTGTTCATAAGTTCGCCTGATGTAGAAAAATGTTACATATTTACATATTTCAGTTGATACTTACACTTATTCAACAAAATATTTTTGCCCTTAGCGGAAAAAATTTTTTGAATAAAGGAAATTACGTTTTCATATTTCTGAATAGTGAAATTTCAGTAGACTAAAGCTCAGAAAATATATCTTCTCAAATGAATTTCATTCAAATTATGGCTATGGAAGTAGATTTTTAAAGAGAAACCTCTTTTCACTCTCTAATTTAGACAGATCGATCAACGCAAGTAATTCTCTGTTAAAATTTATTGTTCTTTTAGACGAGTGAGTAAGTTAAGTGTTGCTTATGAAATTTTGTTCGTGACATTGTGTAGCTTTGGTCTTTGTATCTATACAAGGTGAAAGTTCGTCATAAATGTATAATTATGAAAATTGTTACAATTTGGGTATTTACGTTTTTAACCTTGTCACGCGCCATATTTTGTGTATATCATATAAGTGTAGAGTATTGTTAAGTAAAAGGTAATGAAGCGAAACTAAACATATTATGAACGAGAAAGTACTGAAGCTACATACAACAAATATATAAGATATACTCCACTGTAGTATATTATATGAAACTACTTACGAAAAACTATTGTATAATTATAAAATTTGTGTTTCCTGGCTATTTTTTTCTTTTTTAAAACTGATGCAATTTTTGATCGGACTCAAGTATTTTGTATAAACTTTTTGTTTTTATAGATTAATAATTCATGCCCTGTGTATACAGATATAAAATAGTTGCTTGAAACTTGATCTACATATATACGAATCGCGTAAGTTTAAAGTGCTATGCTATATCTTACGAACCTATTCTTCAGAAGAACTGTTAGAGATTGTAAGATAAAGGGTGCACATCTGCAAAGACGGTCGTTTACTCTATAGAGAACTAATACTCTCAACGTTTATTTCTATGAAGTAGTGTTCTTAACGTTTCTACGATGAACAGTATCTGTTTTTCGCACGATTTACTCGACAATATTAGCTGATACCGAATTTCATGGGAAAAGAGCACTTCTGAATCGATATCTCTTCTCAGTTTTGAAAATTCCAAGCAGCGGAAAGGTTAAAAGACTAAATCGCATAATAAATTTCTGTTTTAGCTTTTTTTTATTGCACGCGCATCCTTTTTAAGTTTCCCAAAGAGAAATATCGAAGAAAAATACTAAAATGAAATTAAGATGTGAAATAAATAAAACTAGAGAAAGACAGTCAAACAACAGTGACAGAGCGCGTAAGTAGAGAAAACGCCCAGATGTAATAAAAGAAGCATCCCAATACAGATCTTCATTCACGCGAAGTTCATCACAGAAGAATAGTTAGAAATTCAACTTTAAAACTTGCATTCCATTCTACGTCAGAATATGTTTAATTAAAAAAGAAAGAAAGAAAGAAACAAAAAATACCTTTTGAAGCCATTAAACATCACCTGAACTGTAATTTTGATCGTGTTTTTCTTAAAAAAGTAAAAAAAGAGTCATTGTGAATGAGAACAGAACAAAAATAAACTAAAAAGTCATTCGCCAAACAGATTCAATCTCGTCACCTACTGTGCGTCACAAAATTATTGGCCACTTTTATTCTTAATTTTTCTCGTCGACCATAATACCTAGAACAAGTTTGAAAAAAGATTTCAACAGCTGAACGAATTTATAATCTGATGTGGTGACTATGAAGATTCCATCGAAATTTCTGAAATCAGGGTCTCTGAACAACCAAAATCAGAGAAAATCAAATCCTCGAATTCGATGAAGAAATTTTTTACAAGGAACTTCATCGCATAGAACAAACATTTCTGAACAAAATGAGACGTCTCCAAGCTCCTTAAGGCATTTTTTCATGAAATAGATTCAATTTACGAAAGGCCCTGAGTGCATATCTTTCGTGTTTTTCTGTTAATTTTGCTGATTTTGGTGATATGAGGCTTTCGTAGATTGAATGCTATTTCATGAAAAAAATGCCTTAGGGAGCTTGGAGACGTCTCATTTTGTTCAGAAATGTTTGTTCTATGCGATGAAGTTCCTTGTAAAAAATTTCTTCATCGAATTCGGGGATTTGATTTTCTCTGATTTTGGTTGTTCAGAGACCCTGATTTCAGAAATTTCGATGGAATCTTCATAGTCACCACATCAGATTATAAATTCATTCAGCTGTTGAAATCTTTTTTCAAACTTGTTCTAGGTATTATGGTCGACGAGAAAAATTAAGAATAAAAGTGGCCAATAATTTTGTGACGCACTGTATATCTACCAGAGATCGCCCTGGACCACGTTTTTACGGTCCGGTCTGTGTACGGGCTCAAGATTCTCCGATCCGGCCCGGAGTGAACGCATACATTTTTCGAAGCGGCCCGTATCGACCGGGCTAAATGCATTCTACATTCCGTGGACCGCCCCGTAGGATAGCCCGTAGAATTTTTACATTTCATTTTCAAGAGAAGATAGTGTCTTTTCTAACATTTACTATGAGTGTTGCCTTTCGATGTTGTCTTGTAATTTTCTCGACGTTTTGGGAAAAGGGCTGGGCTCGCATGCGGGTCGTCAAATTGCAGTCCGGTCCGGTCCAGTCCGACCCGTAAACAAGATTCAAAAACGTAGACCCGGCCCGTGGGCCCCCACGGGTTTTCACAGCCCATGACGATCTCTGATATCTACCAGTTTGAATTTGACGGATTGTAATAGGTGCGCTATACTAACACAGATTCTTCGTAGCGTTAAGAACTTTAGTACTTGCCAGTATCAGACAGTACTTTAGTACCGATACTGCTTTTTTCCCTTGTCGACTTCTCGTTCAGAGAAAAAGGTTTTGTTTGCACGAAAACAACTATTTCTCATACTATACACAAAATGAGCCTGTTTGGTAGTTGAAAGTGAATATATTTTTTGTCCTAAAATTTAAAAGCTTGGTATCTTGCTCTCTTGAAGAAACGTCTCTTAGAAAATCTTAATATCCACAACAGCTGGCAAACAATGTTTCTACTATTTCATTTCAGTCTTTTCTACAAGTATGAAACGTAAAGTTACAATTACTTTTGATCGTCCCGAAACTTCCTTTTATTTTTGTGATGAAATTCTGTCGGGTACAATTGATTTCGATTCATTTCATGATTTGAAAATAGATAAAATAAAGGTGACGTTGGTTGGTGAAGCTGCTTATACTGTTGGTAAAACTCGGACAAAATTCTATCATGTACCATTTCTACGACGAAAACTCATTATGACTCCATTTCCCGAACAAGTGAGTGAGGATCATTATTCTTGGCCATTTTCCATTCAATTACCGTATACGTCGCCACCAACGATCAATTTAATACAATCTTATCCAAGTATACGCTATTATCTTGAAGTTGTAGTTATTAAATCATGGTATAAATTAGCACAAAGAGAAACAAAACAGTTTATTATTATTCCCCACACAACGAATGTTCAATATCCCACAATAGTCACAAATCATAATCGTAAAGGAGTTGTTTTGATTGGAAAGGTGGATAAAGGAGAATATTTTCCAGGTGAAACTATCATTTCCACATTAAAAATTAATAATCCTAAACAAGTCGTTATAAAACATATAGACGTTGCTTTAGTTGAATGTCTCGAAGTGTCTCATGATATTAGCGAGCATATTTTATCGACAATTACTCTGCCGAATATTGTAAACAGACATGATGAATCGATCTTAGATACATTTTCAATTAAAATACCCTCAGAAATCTATTTACCACCGTCGTATGCTTACATGTTTCATGTTCATGGACAAAAAATTCATATTGATATTACATATAGACTCAAATTTTTAGTAAAAGCGGAAGGTGTTCTTACAGACTTCAAAGCTATATTACCGATTACAATCGGATCAAATTATCATCCTACAAATAATTTCACTCATCAATTTTTTTATGCAATAGAAACAGAAGAATTGCCGCCACAATACGAATCACCTCCAACCTATGAATCTCTATTTCAGTCAGATTCATTTTGAATACCTGTTTAATGGATTTAAACCAATCTTTTATCAAACATCCCGGTTTTTGATACTTCTGATTAGGGATATTCGGTTCTCGGCTTCCATTAAGAACTGGAATCGTGCTTTTTTTAGGCGATTCCTATTTTTCGGAATAGTGAGTTTTTTAAACTAAAGATACTCTATCTTTTATTTCGAGAAAGTTAAATTTAGTATCCCTACGGGATCTTTGTAATTCTGCGCAACTTCTTTTATATGAAATAAAAAAATGTTCTTTTCATCGCGGTTCTAACTTGAGAATCGAAAACCGAACATCCCTACTACTGATATTGTACTGAGACATTCTTACTTTATAATTTTATTGACTAAAGTTAAAACAATTGAATAAGTTTGTAGAAAGTGTACAGAAAATTTTTTTCCTTTTATATACGAGATTGTTAAATTCTCATAGTTTTTTTTTCTGTAGTATCAAAATAAAAAACTTAGCTGTTGTTCATTATTATTATCTAACATGCGCTGAGTTTATGTGTTTAACACTTGTTTTTGATAATAGATATTAATAAAATCGAACAATACAATCTCGCTGTTGTGTATCATAGGATCGTGTTGAAAGAGTAGGAATTTTTAATTTATCGTTAACTAGTATAACATTTCTTTACGTTTTTAACGGCTAAGGATTTGTCATTTTCTTAAACGCCAAATATTTTATTTTACACCTTTAATATCGATTACCTTTCGTCATTTAATTTTAAATCGGATTCCTCAGCAAATAATGCATAAATCTTTTGTCTTTACATAACGATATCTCTAATGAAGACAAATTAGAGGCAGCGAAATCACCACAACTTTACAGATTTCTTTCTATGAATTTCTTATAATTACTATATCTTTGACTCCTATTTTCTCTGTTTATTATAAACGTCAATATGAGAGAAATAGGGATTTAACCTGAATTTGTCACTAATTATTCACACTTTTGATGCCAATGTGATAGATAAAAGTAGAAAATTCTATGGATAAATACCGGAAGTTTTTTGATATTTAAAAGATTCCTCTCCACAGCTCTAACTCGTTCCGCCGCCACTAAGACAAATTTTGTTCTGTACAGTAAAACCAGACTACAATCGCTAAACATGAATTTTAAGATCTAATTGAGACAGTTTTGTATTTTTAAGTGCTCATAACGATGTGATTTTATATGTCTATTTAAATATTTTAAAGATAAATGTTAACGTGGACTTATACATCTATTCATACTAAATTTATGTTTTCAAATCTATTACATGAAAAAAAACTAAAACTAATTTGAAATGTATTGAGAATGGTAGTTAAGAAAGTTGCTCACTAAATGAACATTAAATTTGATATGCACTATAAGCAAATGTTGACCATTCTTAAACTAAAATATATTTAAAAAAATGTAATCTGAATGTTACATTTTATACACTCAAGCGTCTTAGATTGTATGTAAATATCCTTAACAGATATTTGAGTAATTAAAATTGTTTTAAATACTATACCCCCTATTTATGTTTAACAGAAATTTTATTTTTGTCAATAGAAAAAAGCCAAACGAAATGTTGACCGTTACAAAAGAGGAAACTGTAAAACACACACACAGAAGCAGTGACAAAATGGTATATATATATTTCTTTTATTAAAAAAAAAAAATGCACGAATAAGCAAGAAAAAAATTTTAAATAATAAAAACAACAGCAACAAAAAATGAAATTTTACCTAATTTGTTGATCAACAGAAAATTTATTATGTTATTCAAACTTTTGTTCTTCTATTCGTCACGATATTCGAATGGCTCAGGTGGTTCTGGTTCAGGAAGATCTTCTTCTTTCGTTGGACCACCAGCTATGAAAAAACAAAACAAAAATAAAATCAAACTTGATATATGAAGACAGAATGATGATCAATTTACCTTTGGCTAATTCAACGAATACTTCAGGTTCAGATGCCTGTGTATCTTTAACAAGAATAATGCCACCATGAGTAATATCTTTCAACGGTTGATATCGTGCATTCTTTGGCATACTAATGACGCGTTGCTAAAAACAAAAAACTACAAAAGTTATATTTAAATATCGTGAAGAGAGATTGTACCTGTGCTTTCATAACACGTGTTGGATTATGTAATGTTTCTGAATCAGGTTCTTTTTCTTTCTTTGGTTCTTCTTTCTTTTCACCAGTTTTCTCCTTTTCCTTTTCCTTCTCTTTATCTTCTTCTGCTGTTGTTGTTGTTGCTGGTGTTGCGGCTACAGCTGGTTTATCCTAAAAGATAAAATAATTTTTTTTGAAATATGTGTCAAATTCCAAGAAGATCATATATACTGTTTCCATTGGTTCATCAGTTTTATCTCCTTTTTTCTCTTGTTCACGCTTTTTTTGTTTAGCGGTAATTGATAAGACGGCTGTTTCAACTTTTTCTTTTTTTTCTTCTTTTTTATCGACTAACGGTGGTGGATAGGCAAACACAGATGGAGGAGCATTTGAAATTATATCAACATTTGGCATCTAGATAAAATAGACGTTAAAATATTACTTATCCTTTCGAAAAATAGTTATAGTTAAACTGCTTACTTTTAAATCTTGATTAAGTGTAACAAGACATGTTGGTGAAAATGCTAATGATAAAAATAATGATAATGGAAACCAATACCAGAATTGTGTAAATACAAGTAAACCAACAACCGACATTGTATCTGTTTGACCACTACGAGTTAATAATGATACTGTTACATTACGACCACCTGAATAAAAATTAAAATTTTTATGTATTTCTCAGTTCAAAATTCTTTTTTATTTTTATTATACCTGCATCAAGTATTCCATGTGCTAATATTGCTCCGAATTTAGCCATAACATCATCGTGTTTATCGCTAATTACTTTCATGTAATGTTCACGGAACATTTTCACCTAAACAACAGATACGATAAATGGTAATTAAACAGATTTTTTAGAAATTAGTTTAAACATGTTTGGTAGTGCAGTGATAGAAAAAAAGACTTTTAATTACCTTTGGACATGTTGCTTCAGTATGTTGTATACATATCAATGCAGATGCAATTAAAACACCTTGTCTCACATAATTGACAGCATCATTTAACATTGGCTCCAGAACGGCAATAGCTTCCTGAAATAAAAATATGCATATATTGTATAGAAAATATTAAAAATAGTATTGTTCTCTTACTTTATTTCCTGTTCCAGCACATGCAATTCCCAATGCCAGTGCCGCACCATAACGAACATGAGGATTGTAACTCTCAGCCAATAGTCCAACAACAGACGGAAATTGTTCAGGAGTTCTAAACAGAAAAAGAAAGAACAATTGAATATTGAAAGATACACATAAAACTGATATAAACTATATTTAAGTAAAAAAATACATTCAAAGACATCAGCATTTATCATGAACTTTTGAGAGAACGCGGTGAGCGAGCACAATGCTCAAAAAACTTGTTGATTTCTCTTTTATTAAAAACTCTCCAAAACGAATTATTCCTATATGATACAGTAATTCTGAAAATGTACAAAAGTATAGACGGAATATTTTCAGAAATGAGCTACATACAAGAGCTTAGGAGATATAATCATTCTTCTAAAGAAGATATACTATGGTTGACTGAACTAAAAACGTCGTTTCACTTCTTAGTTGCCGAAACTATGTTTCATTTGTGAAACTTATCCTAGACATCAACACTCACTATAGCGAGATATATAATTCCAAAATCTCAAGAATATCGCGATATTAATAATGTTTACTATGATATATTGAAGAATGTTTTGATAGTTTGAAATACATGTATTTTGTCGATATAGCACAATAGAAATATGTTGTGATGTTATTATTATCGTATGTAACATAATCAATAAATTGCAGTAACATTTTATCAAGTTTACGAGTTATGAGGATACTAGAACACTATTAGTGTATACCGCAGTTCATAGCTGAAGCCTTTCTATCGCAACAAAAACTTTCTCATCACGGCCGTTTCTTATTCATACATCGACTTATCATGACATAGTGTGGTAAATATGTATCATGATACTATCTCAAGAGAAACAAAACACTTTTCTTAGTATAGCACCTTAGCACCCAAAACTACCAATTTAATTTATTTGTAACGTTCTCGTTTCGTAAAATTCAAGGTGACGGATGGATAAAGGGATCAAATCCAACTATGAACTTTTTTTTCCTTATTTTGCTTCCATTTGAATTAAAAATAAAGTATTATTGTCTTCTTAGCAGTATGAGACAAATGCAACCAAAGTTTATTCGTAGACAAAAGGATCCGTGTAATATGTGATTCGATCCGACTACCTTATGTTTTGTAAGGCAGTACCTTTCAGCACCCTAATTAGTACTAGATGTTGCTTTTTTCCCCGTGTACTATCTTAAAAGTATCATTGTATATTGTCGTGTGAATTAAATATTATAAATCTGAATATATGTTTTATCATGATACGCACGATGAATATCACAATAAAGAAAATAAAACAAGAATGTTGAGAAATTGTTACGCAATTTATCGAAACATATTTTTCAATTCGATAGATTAGATATGCAACCTTGTCCAAGTATAACATGAAGTATTGTCATATATTCTCTTACAATTTATTTCGATAACGACTGGTGATCTGGTGATAATATTGCGCATTAAACTATATCAACTCGATATAATAATAATGTATATTTTATACTTTCTGGTCAAATTGAGCATAGGAAGATTTTTAATTTTTTTCTTGATTTAACTTGTTTGCATGTGATTCAACTATGTACTGTCTTAGTTCTTTTTCTTTTTTTGTCATATTTTGATTTGAACATTAGTTAAAAAGTGAAATTTATGAAAAATGTATTTTAATATATCGATCATCTATTGTGATCAAAGATATATTATTATATTTAAATATGTTGTAAATTTTATTTTATTAACAGGAAAAAAGCTTTTTATAGAGAACAAAAGTGAGACAGTAGTTCTATTACAATTCTTATCATGTTTAGTTAAGATATCTAAAAACGTGAAAATCCTCAATTGACATGATATACCGAAAATAACAACAAAGAGCAGAAGAGAAAAAGAAAAAAAAAAGAGAAGAGATTATATTTGTATATTGTTACTTAAGTTAAATACTATTATTACGAACCTTCATCCTGACAACACATTAAGACAGACAGGCAGAGTGAGAAAGAATAACAGACTAAACAAGAATAAAATTTGGGAGGAGCATATTACAGAATGTCTAAGAGATAGAGAGAGAGAGAGAGAAATGTGGTTATGTAAATCTGACAGTATTATGTATCAAAGCAAATTGCTTCGTATATCTTTAAAAAGATAACTTTATTAAATCGAACGTATAGAAGAAGAATAGTTATTCTAATCGACATGTTTAATTTACGTAGTGTTTTAAAAAAATATTGTACTTCGATGAGTGACATATTTATGACAAACAAAGAAAAAACGTTTGTGTCCTCTTCAGGAGATTGTGTAGAATTAAGAGGAGAACAGTAATTATAACATGATATAACAATATTCTTTGATGTCAAATTCAGACCTGGAAAATTCAATCATAAATGAATATATCTTAAGAACATTGTATGATAGCGATATAGTCAAATAAAATTTTATTGTACTATATCGAACCGATATAAAAAAGAATGCAATTATTTATAGAAATTATCTTCTTGTTTTTTTTTTTGTTTTTAATGACCGTTGTAATGGATTACAAATGTACACTGTCTGATATTATTAATACACAAAAAAGTTTGAAAATACTAAGAAATATGAGACATTTTGTTAGTCATAGATATGTTTCCTATTACTGTTTATAAGTTGGATGGTATTTAGGTAATGTTGCGTTATCTAACATTTAACGTTTTCTTTTCTAAAATTTACACATTCGACAGAAAGGAAGCTAACAAAAAAAAAGAAGAAATTAGAGACAACATATCTTCTGCATAAAACTCTATCATGACAAGAAAAGCCTAACTCAACTTTTTTATGTCTCATTCGTCACACTTTTTCTTCATTCAAGTAAAAACACTAAAAATCCAATCTTTCTAGATTTCAACTTCCGCACCCACCCACACCCACACATCCACACACACACGCATGTTTAGGCAAAAAATTAACTTCCTTTTAGTTTACAGTTTCATTACACTATTTATCTTAAAAAAAAATACTACTCATGATCTGATAATTAATACAACCTTATACTGGAAAAATTTTGGACTAATATTTATTCCTATGAGGTAGTATCAAACTTTATCGCTGTACAATAACTGAACAACAACATACGTCAAAAAAAAACAAATTTTAAACGAGATCCAATTGAAATTTAATTAAAAAATCTAATGGGTTTTGAATTTAAACTTAACACTTGAATATATATATTCTTAAAATTTTAATGTTGCTATGTTAAATTTTTCTTTCAATATTTTATTATTATGCTGAAGTGAAATTAATAAAATTTATTTTCTCCGTTTATTTTCTTCGTTCATAAATTCTTATAGATCCCTTTTTTTATTTATTTATTAAAGCAGATTTTTGGTAAGAAGTCAAATTTTCAGATGTTATTTCTGTGATAAGACTGTCATCTCGCAACAACTTCTGTAAAAATTATTAAAAAAGATCAGTTCAAGCTTATTACTTCTTAGCTCATTAATTAACGAAGATGATGTTTTTGTTTGAAGTATGATTGATTTTTACGTTTAAAGTATTGTAAACGACTATATCAAATACTTACACTTATATGCGTCCCGAAAACGTCTCTGAAATCTTCGCGTACCGTAGGGTTTCAGTGAAAAAAAAATCAAGAAATCTTTCTGAATTTTTTCCTTCCCCTCCCCCCTCTTCCCGCCTCCCTCAAGAAATAGTTGATCTACTATAATAATGCCGAGGCACATTATCTGATAGGCCATGCGCATACTAATGATACTTTTCAATATTGTAGAGAAAAGGTTAAGTATCATATTTAAAAACTATTTATCACAGTAGAAAAGTTTTTTATCGATTATTTTCATCACCAAATTTCATTCATCGAAACCGTTGTCTATGTTTCTGTTGAAATTTTAGATAGCGATAAATACAATACATACTTTATCGCAATAAATTGTGATACAACACATCACGGGTATAGATTTAATAAATGAAAAAATTTATCGAACTAAAATTTTTATAATTTTAAAATGAAAACATTAAAATCAATGACATTTACAAATAATAAATTAATCGAGATATGAAAAATTTAATTGACGTTTTACAAACATTTATCTGTTTTCTATCAATTTTTATTTGATAAAAATCAAATCAATTCTTTCTTATAATCGACAATAAACAGAAAATAATTTTGATAAAGCAAATTTTTATGCTGTCTTTTCATCACTAAATGGAGACACACAAATACATACACACTCTTCGTCTTTCTAAATAGACTCACTAAATAGAATCTTAAAATATTCTCTTTCGTAAAAATAATTCTCCCATTTTTTTATGTTCACAAAACACAATGAGCAAGTATAGTAGACAAAAATATTAATTTTTGTAACATTTGTAGGAGGTAAAGCTATTACACTATATATATGTGTGTGTTCACAGTAGAAATAAAATATAATAAATGATTTCAATAACTTCTAAATTTGATAAAATTAACTGAAACATTTTATAAAGTATGTTACTATAATTATATGATCCACATGATGAAAACAAGAAAAAAGAAAATGTTACTTTTTCTAAGTGACGAAAAATACTCATAAACAAATTGTCGCTAAATTTCAAGTATATATTATGTATATATATATATATATAATGTATCAACATTTCTTTTTTTTTGTGTTTCTGAAGGTAACAAATATATTTAGCTATTTTCTGTGTATATTAAATGTTAAGATTAAATTAGATAAAAAACACCTACACAGGAAAACAAGAGTAAGTTTTTTTATTTATTATATTTTTTTGAAAGTTAATTGATTATTACAGTGTGAAGTTTTAAAGTAATTAATAATTTCATGTCATCAGTGCGTAATATCATGTCATTATGTTGTTGATCTGTTATATAATTAGAATTAAAATAAAATCATGCACACATCTTTTGATTTATCTGATTTGTCAAATTTAAATATTTAAATGTTTTATTTAACAATCTAAATTTTTTTTTTCTCTCACAAAAAGAATTTAATAATCTATTGTCATCTTGTTTTAATTTGAAAAATCAAATCGATGATAATAATTCATTCTTCTTCTATGCAGATGTACATCCATAGCAGAAAAATTTTCTAAATTATATGAAAAACCATCACAACATTGATAGAAGCATGTAACTACTCTTAGTCTAGCAAATGAATGATTTATTCGTCAAAATTACTTAAAATTTGTCTTACGTCGAATGAATGAAATAAACACAGAAAATAAATTGTTCTTTTAAATCAAATTTTTTTCAACATCTCCTTCTATAGATTGTATCAAACGTTATACTACAGTGTAGTATATCTCAGACTCGTATCGTATTTAAGTATTATATTAAATCCATATAAAATTTGTCTTCTTAACATTATTAATATCTTAAGAGGATGTTAAAGTTGAGAAAGATCATATTTAACTAGAATAGATAGACAAGCGTTTGACTGGTATGTGGCAGATCTATATCTCCTGTTATTATTCATGGTCATCACATTTCTTATAAACTACACACATTTAGACGAGTACTAATAATTGTAGGAAAATATTATATCTCAGATATTATTATTGTTATTCTCATATTATTTTTTTACGACAACAGCAAACAATAACAACAAAATCCTAATTTCTTCTTCAATCAGTAGAGAAGAAAAGAAAATATAGAAGAGCCGAAATATTTTTGCTTAAGGACACATTTTTTGTATCTTATTACAACTCTTTATTAGGTAAACTATATCACTCTCTATGACAATAATGTTCTATGAAAAACACTTACATTCAATATCTTACAAGCATATGGATAATGCTCTCTTTTTATTTTCTTCGATCACTTGTTTTCTACAACTATCGACAAAATTCTAGTCAATTAACTTTTTTGATCAATTTACATTCAGAGATAAAAAAAAATATCAAAATATCTTTTCAAGAACATTCTTGGAAAAGAATAAAGATAAGTTTAATCATCTCGTTTAAACCGTATACATTATACAAAACCAAGCGAACATCCAATATGAAGGGCAAGATGATTTTTGATCAAAAATAAAATAAAAACGTGCAATGTGCAAAACCAATACAGAAGACTATGATCTTTTGTTCTGAGAAAAATATTTGAAAACCGACATTAAACTGAGATTTTGTTTTCTATTATTTGCTTCCAATTCAAGATTTCACTAAAGTGGCTAACATTTCACTGGCTAATATGTCAGAAAAGCGAATAACTAATCTTGTTTGACACTCTAGTAGCTGAAAACTGTTATTTGGACTACGCTTAATAAGTTACAAAAGTGACTGCTACTCAACTGCAAAACTGATCGTTTGATTAACGAATCAAATGGTAATGTTCAGCTACTAGAGTGTCAAACAAAGCACAGTTATCTACTTTTTCTGACTGATTAGGCCCTAGAGTGACAGAATTGTCAACCACTTTAATGCACCTTGATAACGAAGTTTTTATTTGATTTCAGATCAATCTCAATATGACATAATTACTCCTATGAGATTTTAAAAAATCACTTCAAGAATGTTTTTTTTATTCATTGAAATCACCAAGATATATTCTTTTCTCAAAAACAACAACAACAACAAAAAAAAAAAGGATAGACGGCATAACACTACTCATCAGCATCACTTAGTGCTACAATCTTCTCCTGGTACTAAGGATTGGAGTACATCTTAGAAGTGAATCCATTACATCTTGAATTTAACAGATTTATACCTAAGTTTGTCTGATAGGTTATTGAGAAAAAAAGAAAAAACTGCTCACTCTTATATCGATTTGAATCTAGTAATTTTTTTTTTTAAATAACGATATTAATCTTTAATTGAATATTTCCTCTATGACTATATTTATATTATCCGCTTCATTAAAGATGAAGTGAGTGTGAGTGAGTGTATTTATTATTTTGCTTCTTATCACTTTTCCCTTGATGTTTCCATTATTTTTCTTGATATATAATAGATCACTTTTTCAGGTTATTTCTTTCTTTTTCCATAGTTTGTGAAAAAAAAAAAAATTTATTTTTTTCATTTCGATCAAAATTATTCTTGAGATGAAGAGAAACAAGAATAATATCTTTTCTGTTGTTGACAGCAACAGTCACATTAACACTTACAAATGACCCTCTCTCATAATAATTACTGCCTTTTATTTATTAGACTAAAAATGCTCTCTTTTTTCCCTCTATCTACCAATGACGGCGATAATGATGGTATTAGTAGTATATAAAAGACGATTTTGAGAGACATACACATACACACAAATGGTGTTTAATCAAAGACTGATTGTAATATAGGTTAAATTAGTAAGATCATAAACACATTTTAGATTCAGGAAGGTAGAATTAATAAACATTATAAAAAGAAAAAATTTGATTTGATCTATTGGAGAATAAATTTTTCATAAAAAAAAACAAAAAAATATTGAAATATTCTAAGTTTTAACATACATATAATACACAAATTTTTTATTGCTGTTAGAAGTTAGTTCTTCGTTACAACAAATGTTGACTATGAAAGAATGATCAGATGATATTAAAAAGATCTTTTTAATTAATTTTCTAGACAAATAGATTCACCAAAGTTCTAATATGAAAATAAAGTTTTCAATATTCCAGAATTATAGTGTAACCGTAGCTCTCTTATTGAAGTGTCATTTTTTATGCTTTTTTTATCTACCTTTCACACCCACATCCACACACACATTCTCTCTCTCTCTCTCTATATATATATTTTTTTGAATGAAGACTCATCCGACCGATACACGGTGTTCTTGATATGTTTACAAATTTTAAGATAACAATGAGTATGATGACAGTTTATTTGTTAAAATCGCGACATTGGAGACCTTTGGACGTATCCTCCCATTCAAACTATGCAGACAGTACAAATTAGATGAAAAAAACGTGACAAAATTACATTCCGATAACAGAGTTATGTATTCTAGTCAAAAAAATCTAAAAATATAGACAATTAGATTTCCGTCTAACATTAAAATTGTTCTACTAACAGAAAAAAGATAAATCTTGTTTTTAAAAAAACCAAAATACAAGAAAAAAGACTCCTCAAAAATAGTGGCTTCAATTCTATTATAGATTATTAATCAATAAATACATATAAACTGTATATTTTCTTAATAAAGAAAAAAAAATTTTTTCTTTTTTTTTTTTTTTTTTTTTTTTTTTTTTTTTTTTGGGTGGGTTTTTTTTGTGTTTTTGGTAAAAAATTTTTTTAAAGGGAACGCGGGGGAAAAAAAATTTTTTTTATTGTGTTTTATTTTTGGGGGCCGCTGGGCGGGG